TTTTTTGAGTTGGAGTCTTGCTCTGTTGCCCATGCTGGAGTGCAGCGGTGCAATCTTGCTTGCTACAACCTCCACCTCCCCAGTTCAAGCAATTCTCCCACCTCAGCCTCCTGAGTAGCTGGGATTACAGGCGCACGCCACCATGCCTGGCTAATTTTTGTTTTTTTTTTTAGTAGAGATGGGGTTTCACCATGTTGGCCAGGCTGGTCTTGAACTCCTGACCTTGTGATCCACTTGCCTTGGCCTCCCAAAGTGCTGAGAATACAGCTGTGAGCCACTGTACCTGGCTGAGATTCTTTTTACTAAAAGAAAAAAGCAAATTTACCTTTGAATGGATGTCAGCTTTTCTAAATAGTATGCTTTCACTGCTATCTCCTGACAACTTCAGACATTATGTATTGACCCTCTATTATGATAGAGGTTTCTGTCCAGGAGTAGGTGGGAGTCAACTAGTAGGAGAAAGAAGAAGAAGCTGTTCTTTTCATTTTCTTCTTGGATGCACTCAGGACTCTTGCAGACTGAAGAAGCAGTAGAAAACAGAGGCAGGGAGGGCCCTGCAGGCCTGGCTAGCAAGCAGAGGGTAGTGGGGTACCAGCTCTCAGAATAGTGAGCATGGTCCTTGAAAGTGGATTAGTTCATTCACCCAGCATGCGCGTAGCTGGATAGGGAGTCTTTTGGGAGATTTTGACTAGGACTTATTTCTTCTACTTTTTTTTTTTTGGGACGGAGTCTTGCTCTGTCCCCCGGGCTGGAGTGCAGTGGTGCGATCTCCGCTCACTGCATGCTCCACCTCCTGGGTTCACGCCATTCTCCTGCCTCAGCCTCCTGATTCTTCTACTTTTATTTGCTCTCCCCCTACTCCCTCCCTGCCCACCTTGGGTAGAAATAGCTTTTATTCAAGTGCAATAAAAGAGTTCGTTGGGGAAGACCCATGGGGTGTTATCTTATAGAAAGAGCACTGGGTGAGGAGCAAAGAGATACCATCCCAGTCCCATTTACTGCTGTCACTAGCTCTGGAACCTCAGGCAGGTGCTCAGCCTTGGTTCCTTACAGCCTCTGTGACTCTGTTCCTGCCAGGAATTTCAGAGGCGCTGTTAGCTGTGGCTTGTTTTATTTCAAACGTGTGCAGGCTTTTTACCAGCTTCCCATTCTTTGAAGTCAGTTATGTCTCTTTTTACTTTGCTTGTGCATTTGAGAACTAGAAGGGCAAACATTCAGCTGTGATTTTTCTGGAACCCATTTAATGGAGATTCTTTTCCTTTCATGAGAAAGACCAGGTGACTAGTTAATAGAGAAGCTTTTATTTCAAAATTATTATATTTTCTTAATGTATTTCGATCAAACAGGAATATCTGTGTTTTTCCTGATAATTTAATACAAGTTATTGAGTGAGATAAAGAAGACAGTTACAGCTCCCATATTCTTGCGCGCTGCTCAAAAGAAAAACTATGAATAACATGTATGGGCCAGGCGCAATGGGGTTACAGGCATGCGCCACCATGGCTGGCAAATGGGATTTTTTTGTTGTTGTTTACGGTTTGTTTCTGATATGTTTCCATTTCCTCTTAATTCCTTATATTTTATTTTCCCTCTTAATTCCTTTTTTTCTGTTTGTTTTGGTCTCTTGGTGTCTGTCTTTGATTTATTTGTTTGCAGGGGAGATATTGTGGGCTAAATGTAAAGTGAATAATCAGGTTGTTCTGGTGTCCTTTGGGTATCTTCTTTTCAATGATACCAACTATGAGCCCACACAGAAACTGCTCAAATGATATTTTTTATTTCTCTAGGAGGAGAAAAGCACACTGGTGGTGGCAGGGAGTCTGGCAGTGATGCCTGGAAACATTACATGAGAAGGTCTACTTGGTAAGAAATGGCTTTGGGAAGATAGGTTTGGGCTTAAAGCCTTTGGGAATGTGCTTTTACACTCTTCTACTGTCTGTGCTGTCTTTGTGCAGTGCCATTTGATTTGATTTTTCCAGCATGCCACAGCTGTCTCCTCCAAGTATCTATTTGGTACTATTTTTCTAGCTTTCTTATCTAGCTTCAGTTAGTGCCCAGCACCCAACAATGAAATGGTCTCGTGCGTGGTTTCTGTATTTTTAGTAGAGATGGGATTTCTCCGTGTTGGCCAGGCTGGTCTCGAACTCCCGACCTCAGGTGATCCACCCGCCTTGGCCTCCCAGTGTGCTGAGATTACAGGCGTGAGCCACAGCACCCGGCTAATTTTTGTATTTTTAGTAGAGATGGGGTTTCACCATGTTGGCCAGGCTGTTGTCGAACTCCTGACCTCAGGTGATCTGCCTGCCTTGGCCTCTCAAAGTGCTGGGATTACAGGTGTGAGCCACCATGCTGGGCTGTTTCTTGCACTTTTGATGGCACACTGTTTTTTTTTTTTTTTTGAGATGGAGACTTGCTCTTTTACCCAGGCTGGAGTGCAGTGGCCTGATCTCAGCTCACTGCAGCCTCAGCTCTGCCTCCCAGATTCCAGCGATTCTCCTGCCTCAGCCTCCCAACTAGCTGTGATTGCAGGCATGCACCACCACGCCTAGCTAATTTTTGCATTTTTAGTAGAGACC